AAGTTCGTCTGACACGAAAATCCTTTGCGAAAACCATGTTTCTCGACATTAAGCAGGTTAAATCTATTTAAATGGTTTTCCACTGTATCTCGCACTAATTTTTCAAGTAACTTAACGAACACGCCAGTCAAGCTGACAGGCCTGCAATCAGCCGGTAGGTCTTTGTCGCCGCACTTGAAAATCGTGCAGACAACAGCCTCCTTCCATTCGGTAGGCAATATACAGCTGTTGAGTGACATCTGAAACACACAAGTCAGAGGTCCACTGAGTTCCCCTAAAAATCCGTGCAACGATTTTGGATGAAGAGAAACTGGCCCGGAAGCCTCAGTTGGGTTCACCCCTCTTAGGAACCGAAGAACTTGGGACTCATTTACAGGAAATTCATCCTGACAACAGTCCTCAGAGACATTTGAAGCTGACTCTTTGCATGGCGTATTTGTTTCGCGGACAAAGACGCATGAGTACTGCTTACCAAGCACGCATGCCTTGCCATAGTCGCTATAGGCATGAGTCCCATCTCCTCGAAGCAATAGTGGTATGGGCGAGTTTGCACCACAGCGTCGTTTAACTTAAGCGAGGAATTTCTTGGGACTGTTCGAGGCAGCATTAGCTAAACCCTTTTCATACTGAAGCCGGGCCAACCTAAGAGGTAGCTTGCACTCATTTCGAACCAACCGATACTTGTCAAACGTGCTGTTCAACGGAGCTGTTCGGTACCCTCGCCAGCATCTAGACCGCTTCTTTAGCAGGCCCTTCCCCACGGAATCTATACACGGAGGCTGCGCGCTCGATTCCCTTCTTTTTACTAGTGGGATGTGAGGTGCAGAAATGTCGACGAGGTGAGCCTTAAGTTTTTCTCAGGCTACGTGAACAGTGTCGGTCTCAGATATCACACAAGGCGATGACCTAGCTTTATCTCGCATCGCTTGGAAGTCCGCGGCCCAAATGTTCGGATACCAACTGGTAGTAGCTTGGCAAGGCCTAATAAGGGTACACTGGAAAGACAAGCAAACGTGATCGCTAGCGCCAAGAGGCGATTCGTACTTAATGTCATTTGCAAAGTCAAGTGACTTAGCAAAAACGAGATCTAAAATAGACGGCTGCTGATTGCTCATGTACCTAGTGGGGAGGTCCACGAACTGGTGTAGTAGTACCTGCAGCGCTGATTCCAGCAGTTCTGCACCGAACGATTCCAGAGCCGAACTGCAAGGTAGATCATCCCAACAAACCTCTGTGGTGTTGAAGCCTCCAACACCGGACACTTGTTCGCAGAGTGAGTGCATATAAACTCAATGACTCCATTGGAGGTGCTCATAGGGCTTCTATACACTAACACGACCGTAACCTGAACCGAGGAAGCGCAAATCAAGACTGTGAGTGCCTCAACAGATTTGTCGAGAGACTGAAAAACGCTGGTCCTCAGTACGTCGATGCGATAACTCACATAAAGAGCTACACCACCCCCTTGACGGCCAATGGACCGGTCAGCGCGGAACAATGCGTAGCCAGGCAGATATCCTTCGCTTTCTGTGATTTCCTCAGACAGCCACGTTTCAGCGAAAGCAAGTATATCTGGACGAGATTTGTCTACGAACAGATCCACCTCGCACATCTTGTTCCTCAGGCTACGCACGTTACTAAGTACTACTAGGAGGGCTTCGGCACGACCAGCCCTGGGTCATGCGCAAGTAGTATAGGTTCTGGCAGGGCGGGAAATGACCTCCGGCTGACCACCTGAAAATACACCAATCGGAGACCTTGCTCGCCAGTTGCACGCCGGGCTTTTAGGTCTCTGATGGCTTCTTTTAACTTTAACCTATCCGCTAACGGAAGGTCTGGTTGCACACTAACGTTGGTACCTTTGAGCTTGAAAGCAAATTTCAGTAAGGCCCTGCGCTCTTCTCGGGTGGAGAGGACTGCCTTAAGCAGACGGGGCAGAGGATTTGTTTGACCAACCGGAACATTCCCCAATCTGATGAGCTTCCTGACAGTAACGCCAGGGAAACCTGGTGGTAAGAGCTTGGTCATGCAAACCTTAAGCCAACCAACATCATCAAGCATGCGCTCGGTGGGAAGAGCGGCAGTGGATTCGGTGACGTTTCTGAAAATCACACTGCCATCTGTGTAAGAATCGCCTCGACGAGGTGTATTTACACCACATGCCCAGCCATCCACGCCACATGGTTGTTTGACAGGAATCGGTGGGACCGAAGACGACGGCACCACTTGTCTCACTGGGGGAATTGCAACACCAGGTGGTGTTTCCAACTCAGACGCTTGTTTCTTGAGCATTTTATCACCTTCCGGTTTGGGGTCGGGGGTTTGTGTGTTTTCCTTGATCTCTTACGCCTATTCTTCAATGGCCCAGGAGTCCGTGACTCGCCTTCCATTTGGGGCGGGTCAACAATGTCGTCCGAGGCATCTGTGTCAGTTATATCCACGTGAACTGGAGCGTCCGGCAGGATGAACGCCTCGTCAACGGTTGGACCGTCAGCAGAAGTACAGCCCGTTACAGCGTCTACATTTGCAATATCAAGGGATTTCATAATCAAATCCACTTTAGAGTTGAGCGAAGCAAGAGAGGCAAGCTCGGCTAATGCCTTCTCAACAACTGTGAATCTGGATGCTAGTGCTTTGAATTCAGCACAGGTGAAAGCCGGGAGCTTTGTTTTCTGAGCGCAACAATCAACACATCTAAACAGAAGGCTTTCACTGGATGATAGCATATTGTACTGATTCTCTCGGAGGCCGGTACAATTCTTGTGATACCAACGAAAGCAAACATCGCACTGCGTACCACCAGATGAATCCGTTACTGGCCTTGCACAGGCAAAATTGCTGCAAGCTGCATTTGACTCATCAAACGGGGATGCAAGGGTTCATCCGCCTCGGTATTTCGCGAGACGACCATGTTTAAGTGTAAAACAGGACAGAAGTTAAAATCACGTATGCAACCACAATAAAAAGGCAAAACAGGGTGAAAAACGGGATTAAAAAGAGAACAACCGCAAAATTACCAGTAAGCGTCAAGAAGACTTTGACCAGTACCACTTTATAAAGTGGTACTATCGACTATAGTCGATCCAAAATATCTTGGATCAGAGGAAATTTGACAATAGTCAAATTTCGTTTCAGGCGTTTATTCAAGTTCAAGTTCAAGTGGGACTGGAACGATAGGATTATCCCATTAGTGTTCCTTCTTCGGCGGGTCGTTGAACCAGAAGTTAGCGAACTTTGAAATACTGATGGACCTAAAACAAAGACCGCATCACACCCTGTCCAACCAATTAATGCCCACGTATCCTGCCCTAGCAGTCCCTGCTGGGTCGGTTACGTGAAGTAAGAAAGAGAAAAAAGTAAACGCAGAAGGCAAAAGAGAAAGTGATAAGAGCTAAACGAGTGGAATAACAAGATATTTGAGTCAATACTGTTTTCCACGCATGACACCATGCTCGTCCGTCACGGGCTTTGAGCAGCTCCCGCTGCAGCATACAGCGTTAGATTCGCTGATCAGCGCGGCCGAAGACACATTAGCGCTGGTATTCAGTGAATCCGACATGACGCTTTCAGAGTTTGAAATAAGTATCAAAACGTAAAACCGACAAGCTGTTACCTGAAGAACAGTCAACAGAGTTACGTGTTAAAACAAGATGCAAAACGAAGTAAAAACACAAAAATACCGGAAATATAGCCGGAGGCTGAACCCAAAAAAGATGGACGACGTTTGGTAAGTACACGAAAACGGGTACTTCGTGATTCATTCATTCATTGAGTGGTAGAGAGCAGAAGGGGGGTCCCGTGTCAGCTCCTTCGCTTCCCGATCTTCCAAGGATTGCAGGCGAGTTGGCTGTCATGGCTCAGGATGTAATATCAGCCCTGCAGGATCCTTGAGTACTCAGTAGGAAGATGTCTAGCAAACGTTTGAAACTCGCTTCTGATTGCGCATTGACAATCGGGTCCGGCAGTCGGTTCCAATCATTAATCACTCCAGTAGTGAGAGCAACATCTGAGCGGACTTTGAGCCTCCTCGGTTTAAAAAGCTTCCAGCTGTGACCTCGAGTCGAACTGCCAAGTCTTAGCTGAAAGAACTGCCTTAGCTCGTTTCCCAGTTCTCCTCGTAGGATGCGCCTGGTATAGATGAGGTCTCCGCGACGTCGGCGATAGTCTAAGGGAAAAAGGTTCATCCTCTGTAGGCGGGTGGGGTACGGGAGGTTGCGTAGCCCAAGGACAAATTTCGAGGCTCGTCGCTGAATTTTTTCTATCTTGTCACTTCATGTTTAGATAAAGGGGCTATGGCCGGATGTCCGAATTCAAGAATGGGACGGATATGGGAGGTGAAGAGAAGTCTAAATATCTGCGGCGTCATTTTAGAGAATGATCTCCTTATGGCGCCCCACATCCTGTTCGCCGCAGCAGTTTTCTTTAACGTGTCAAGGGTCGTTTTGAGATCAGAGGAGATTATTGTCCCCAGGTCCTTTTCCTGTGTGGCAATCTTGAGTAGGTGCCCGCCAATGTGATATATGCCCAGTGGTTCAGCAGCACCTATAGAAAGGACTGAGCATTTATCTTGTTGACCGGCAAACCCCACTTGATAGACCAAGAGTGTAGTAGATCAAGCGTTTCCTGTAATTGGTCGGCGTCTTCGAGGCGGTACACCTCCGACCATAGCTTGAGATCGTCTGCATAGATCAGACGGGGAAAATGATGATCCAAAATTATTTGGACCAAGCGAAAGTTGACAAAAGGCAAATTTTTTGCACGACACATGTAAACCCTGTACTGAAACTGTCCTTTGAAAGTAAACTTGCACGCTGCATATCACTGCACTGAGGATGCCACCTCGCATGGTGGTGAAACGTTTGCGAGAAAACCGCCAAGCTCGGAGAACAAATGAACAATTGATTCATCAACCCGAGCTACCAGTATTTCGAAACATTTTAAAGTAAAACCTCAAAAAGTCAGCAGGGAGTGGCTAATTTTGCAAGGAAAATCAGCCTTACCCGGACGTTGCGCTTGGGTACGCCAGCCAAAATGATGGTCAACGCGTGAATAAGGATTAAATACATTGATATGAAATGTCTACTTTTAAAGGAAGCAAATGCAATGAAATAAAATACACATGCATTTCATTCACATTGCGCACTGTTTGAAATGGCAATCAAGCGACGGTGTCTATTTGTTTCATGTTCGACGATGCTGCGTTTTGCCGTATGGTTGGTGGTGGCTACAAAAGCGCCGATGAAATGGAGTATGTGGTACGTAATAATAAGTTCGTGTCATGCAGTTTTTTCAAGTATTATTTGGTGGACCTGCAGCCTGAGAGTTTCCTGTGCCAGTATGTGAATTTCCGCCGCGTGCATTCCAAGCGTGATGCCCCCCGTGGGAAGCGGTACTTGATATTGCATGCAATGATGGTTTTCAATAATAGAATCCATGACCACTTTTTCGGAACTACCCTCGAGGCGGTAATTGTAATTTCGGGCATGGCATTCTAATGGATATTTTAGCGGAACTCTTGTGAAGTGTCGTGGGTGCTGAAACATGAGAAACAACCTTTGCCCATTGTCTGATTCTAGGCGCTCCAAGGAATCTTTGGCCGTTGATACGGCTGTTGCACCCTGCATTTATGTGAAGCTTGCTGGAGCATAATACGTACGCTACCGTTGCTTCAGCATCGTCTGTTAACGTGCGCCCAGTCTCATTGCCTGCAGCTTATCCGCGCTTCTGTTCATCTAAATTCTAAAATTTGGGTGGTGTAAATGTTCCGTCGCGGTGTGCCTTTCATGGATAACAGCGTGATATTCCGCAACGCAGTGGAATCCACTGCCGCCCCTCCTGCCGAACACATGTTGGACGATCTACACTGTTTTAAGATGTGCGCAACAAAGGTGCTTGCGCCTGGGCTCCCTGCATTACTGTCAGGAAACTAAATACATTCGGTAACGTCCAACTTAACACTCCAAACTCTCCACTGCGCGTATTTCGTGTAGTCCTTTCCACCCAGGTGAACGCAACGCGCGGTTGCGGTTTACCTTCAAACTGAAGGGAACTAACTTTAGCGTTCATCCAGGCCTGCCGCTAGCAGGCTGACTGAAGCTAGAAGAGGACACTAAGGACCTAAAAACCAGGCTAGCGTTCGGTGAACAAGGTCCCCGGTTGTTAGGTTTTTGGGTGGTTGGCCGGGCTACCAGTGCCAGTCCTACTAGCGCACGACACAGGGCTGGACATTACGATTACCTTCAGATAGTGCTAAGCAGTATGGGCAAACTAAGGAATAAGACGTAAGCGATAGGTGTACACGGCCGCAGCTGAACCCAAGAAGTGTGTTGCTTACGTTAAAAGACGCAGCGGGGTAAAACTGTCTATACCAGCGTTATTGCGAGCAGACTGAACCCGTGCGCAAACTGACTACGATTAGTTCGAGATCAGGTTCAAGTGCAAGTGGGACTGGAACGATAGGACGAATTTGTAAGTGTTCTTTCTTGGGCGGATCGTCGATCCAGGAGTTGATAGGGGTGCACTGGCATCTTGTTGGGTCTAAAACGAAACCCACCGGAAAGTACTTTGGTCCACCAATTTAATGCCTACGTTTCTCACATTAGCTGTTCCTGCCATGTCAGCTACGTGAAGTAAGTAACGGAGGGATTTAATAGAACGTAAAGAGTTATGGAAAACAGTTAACAGAGCATGATATCTATGGTGATGGAAGGTACTGAAAAAAGCATTGAAGCATGAAAATGAGAATTTGTCAGTAAAAAGGAAAGGATTCGTGTTGCTACTCAAGAGCATCTAGTTAACGCTCAAACCCCGTAAACGTAACTTCCTTGACAACATTTTCTGGAGGCAAATTTCAGCGCTCAATGACTTTACACAATAACTGTACGTCTGCTCTAACTCGATCGGACCGCGGTTTCTCCAGCTTCATACAATGCCCGCGGAGACCAGATAACCTAGCAGAACTAATAGCCAAGAAAATCAGGGCCAACCTCAGACATACTACGGTAGTTTGGTATTTGGTTCCCTCTAATCTTGGATGGCGCATTGAACGCATCCACACTAAGTAGGCGTTCGGGGTCCATTTTTCTCATAACCTCTCGGCCAAACTACTACCGACCGTCAACACCCTTTCTACTACCAGTTTGTCCCGGACAATGCATGGTTGACAGGCCTGGACGCAAAATTCTACGTGGGGTCGCACAAACGCTGAAGTGAGCTTCACAAACACATCAGCGGTTAGTGTCCCAAAGAACGACGGGTAAACCACAACCTCCGGAACCCTTTACTAGCCACCTTCCAATTGTCTCCTGAGTGTGGTGTGGAACCTTGGACGACAACTAGAGCCACCTAATGAGTCACGTGAGGAAGTTCATTCCAATCGAGCACATAACTAGTGATGGAAACAGGTGCTTCCATACGCAGCACTGAACACTTTGCCTGGTTTATGGGCAGCAACCACAAGACAGACCATTCCCACAGTCTATCCAGAGCCCGTTGAAGAGCCAAAGGACCTCCAGGGATCTCAACAATATTCCAGAGATTTGTGTCATCAGGAAATAAGAGCGCTGATGCCTCAAGCTTCTTTGGCAAATCATTCACGTAGGCTGTGAACAGCAGCGAACCTAGGCCGGAGCCTTGCAAACAACCTGTCGAAACGAAATACTCCTTCCCACAAGAATACACTGTTCCCGTCCAACCCGAAATACTGACACCTAGTTCTCACGAGCTACCAGTAAGTTCGTTAGGCACAAAAATCTTTTGCGGAAAACATGTTTTTCTACGCTATGCACGTTAAACACATTTAAATGGTTCTCCACCATATCGTACTAAGATTTCAAATAAGTTAACCATCGCACCAGTCAAGCTGGCAGGCCTGTAATCAGCCGGTAGGCCTTTGTCACCGCAATTAAAAATCGGGCAGAAAACAGCATCCTTCCATTAGGTAGGCACGATATAGCTATTAAGTGAATTCCGAAACACACCATCAGAGGAACAGAATGTGGCTCGCAAGCCATAGTTGTGTTTTACTATCCTAACAATCGGCGAACTTGAGACTCAGTTACAGGAAATTCATCCTGACAACAGTCCTCAGAGACATTTGAAGCTGACTCTTAAATAAATACATAAATATTTTATTCTCGACAAAGCGAGACACGCCTTTTTGGGCATGATCAGCATATTGCATTATTGTACATGATAGCGGAATAAGCAGCACCAACAGTGGGAGTAGTAAAGTTGGAGACAGTTGTGTGGGCCCATAGAGCCCAAAGGTTGTATCTAGTCTATGTACACAAAATGCGAGAGGTAAAAATAGTGATCGGATCACTTATATGGTATGTCGATGAGGAACTAGTCCGCTGAGGTCCCGTAAGCAATGTAGGTCAGTGAGTGAAGTATGAGGAAACGGGTGGAAAATACTTAAGAATAGTGGTATGTCACTAGTCAGATATGTAGGCGTGTTCGTGCGAGAGCCAATATATGCACAGAACTTGTAAATGTGGTGTCGATCAACTTGCCAATGTGTTAGGGGCGGTGACTTTATTGAGTGGCGAGTCACATCCGCCACGTCGCAGTGTTGTTAAACAGACATTTGTGGCTTTTTGTAGGGAAAACGCTTGCCAGACGAAGACCCACCACGTCCTGGAACACTGCCGGCTGTTGATATACATTGGCAAGATGGTATCTGACCGATTATCCTCGCGGATATTCGCAGTCACGCAACGCCAATTTGTTTCCTATGGCTGTGTAGTCGCCTTCGGAGTCCATTACAAGTGGTTGGGGCTGTCGAAATCGGACGACTCAGGTGACTTGTATTGAATTGATCAGTTTCCTAGGTTCTTTAGTTTGTCATGATTATGAAGTGCGGGTTTTTCTTTGTTCTTTATTGAATCCGTGTCCATGGGAGCGTCGCAGGTACGTCTTCAGCGGTGTTTGGTGCAGGTAATGTTATCCTGTAGAACAAGGGTGAGAAGAAAAACGGACCGAGCAAACTGCCAACAAAATTGAACAGGACTACGTTATTGTATAAATATAAAATTTACGGTAAAGTTGTGCTGGCTAAAATCAATGGAATGCATGGCGTATTTGTTTCGCGGACAAAGACGCATGAGTACTGCTTACCAAGCACGCATGCCTTGCCATAGTCGCTATAGGCATGAGTCCCATCTCCTCGAAGCAATAGTGGTATGGGCGAGTTTGCACCACAGCGTCGTTTAACGTAAGCGAGGAATTTCTTGGGATTGTTCGAGGCAGCATTAGCTAAACCCTTTTCATACTGAAGCCGGGCCAACCTAAGAGGTAGCTTGCACTCATTTCGAACCAACCGATACTTGTCAAACGTGCTGTTCAACGGAGCTGTTCGGTACGCTCGCCAGCATCTAGACCGCTTCTTTAGCAGGCCCTTCCCCACGGAATCTATCCACGGAGGCTGCGCTCTCGATTCCCTTCTTTTTACTAGTGGGATGTGAGGTGCAGAAATGTCGACGAGGTGAGCCTTAAGTTTTTCTCAGGCTACGTGAACAGTGTCGGTCTCAGATATCACACAAGGCGATGACCTAGCTTTATCTCGCATCGCTTGGAAGTCCGCGGCCCAAATGTTCGGATACCAACTGGTAGTAGCTTGGCTAGGCCTAATAAGGGTACACTGGAAAGACAAGCAAACGTGATCGCTAGCGCCAAGAGGCGAGTCGTACTTAATGTCATTTACAAAGTCAAGTGACTTAGCAAAAACGAGATCTAAAATAGACGGCTGCTGATTGCTCATGTACCTAGTGGGGAGGTCCACGAACTGGTGTAGTAGTACCTGCAGCGTTGATTCCAGCAGTTCTGCACCGAACGATTCCAGAGCCGAACTGCAAGATAGATCATCCCAACAAACCTCTGTGGTGTTGAAGTCTCCAGCACCGGACACTTGTTCGCAGAGTGAGTGCGTATAAACTCAATGATTCCATTGGAGGTGCTCATAGGGCTTCTATACACTAACACGACCGTAACCTGAACCGAGGAAGCGCAAATCAAGACTGCGAGTGCCTCAACAGATTTGTCGAGA